GGGGGGGGGGGGGGGTCCGTGCCTCGACACTGAATTCCCACGCGAGGCGAGGAAGGCGTCTCAGCGCGCAAGCCACAGGCCCAGCCACGCTGACCACTCTGCGAGGTCGTCAGCACGGCCACCCGTCACCGGCCGTTGCCTTTATGACTCCCGGAATCCCGGGACACAGTGGCCGCGGTCTGGGAGGGATTCCGCCAGCAAAGCTGTTCTGCAGAGCGGGGATCCACGAACGCCCTCCCGTTACAGCAGGGGGTGACACGCGTGTGTCTCCTGCTCGCCAGCGGGGGCCGCTCCTGGGGGCGGGGGGCTTCGGCGGGCGCCCGGGCAGGGGTCGGGGCAGCAGCTGACGCGTCCGGGAAACCGTTTTGCTTTGCAAACTCCTACGTTACGAAACGAGTGGCTCTGACTCGTTTCTCTCTGTCCTCTTGGCCGCTGGAGGGCATCGCCCCGGGTTGTAGCTCTCACCAGGAAGGCGTCAGAGGCGTCTAAGCGGCAGCCGTGTGGACTGCGGCACGCCGGCTCCTTTCCCGTGCCCGCTGCTGTCGATGGCGATCGCGGCCTCTGAGCCGCCGTGTCGTTGCTTCACAGGTACTGCGATTGCTTTGCCAGCGGGGACTTTTGCCACAACTGCAACTGTGACAATTGCTGCAACAACCTGCATCACGAAGTCCAGCGGTTCAAGGCCATTAAGGTGACCGTTTTCCCACTGACTCCGCGCATTCTAACGGTCTTTAAAAGTGCTTGAGGGGGCGCCCGGGTGGCTCAGTGGGCCGAGGGTCCGACTCTTGGTTTCGGCTCAGGTCACGATCCCAGGGCCGTGGGATCGAGGCCGCGTCGGGCTCCACTCTGAGAGTGGAACCTGCTTGGGATTCTCTCTCTGCCTCTCCTTCTGCCCCTCGCCCTGCTCTTTCACGAATGAATGAATGAATGAATGAATGAATGCCTCACACACGTGCATGAGATACTCACAAAACTTACCTCCAGAGATCCCCGAGGCTGGGGTATTGGCTCTCGAGAGAGCTGTTGGGAGAGCGGCAGTCAGAGAAAGATCTTTGTTCCCCACCGTGTGGGATGGCTTCGGTGGAGGTTCCGACTTAAGAGCGTGCAGATGTCCACTTGGTCCTCATTTGGGGTTTAGAGATTTGAGTCCTAAACTCGATCATGCAGGAGACAGGCCGAGCTTGGAGGGTGGCGTCTGAGAGGGGTAGAAGCCGGCTGGACGGAGAGCTGGCTGGGGCTCTCAGCCACGACACGTGCCCAGTGTTTATTCTCTGTGGCTTCCGGGTGAAGGGGGGGGGGCATCTGGACTTTCCTCGGGCGGCCACGGCGGCTCTGTGGCCCCGTGTGCGCTACAGGCCGGATGCGGGAGCTCGCGGCTCACCCCTTCCCGTGGGCATCAAAGATCATCAGAGAAGGGAGGACAGTCAGGCGTGGGGCGTGACGTTTTGGTGCCCCCGGTTTACAAAGGGAAGTCACGGGCCGTCGCGTGTCGCCTTGAGACTGTCATGCTCCGTTTTGTCCCTACGATAATTTAATTCCCCTCTTGGATTATAGACAGGTCACTTGAAAGTATCTTACCCATTTTGATAGAGCCAGAGCCATGGGACAGAAGAGAATGATGATGCCGCTAAACTTTGGTGGTGTGGCATTTTCTTTAGGGCTGAAAGGTATTGTCTACAGCTAAAAGTGTATAAAGTTTTATTTAAAAAGTGTTGGAGTTTGGGGGGGTGCCTGGGTGGCCCAGTCGGTTGAGCATCGGACTCGTGACTTTGGCTCAGGTCTCGATCCCGGGGTCGTGGGATCGCGCCCCACATCAGGCTCTGCGCTTAGGATTCTCTCTCCCTCTGCCCCTCTCCCCTGCTTGTGCACGCTTCTCTCTCAAATTAAAAACAAAAAAATGTGGTTTTGAAAGCGTTGGCATTTTCAAGCATCGCTGGTAGGAACATACGATGGCATAAGCACGTGGGGAAATGGTGTGGCAATAGTTTCCGCAGCGGGACCTTTGCACGTGCTATGAGCCAGCAGTGTTGTTCCTGAACACAGGGGCACTGGAAGCGTGCGTGAGTGTGCGTGAGCGCGCGTGCCCCACCGGGGACAGCCCAGTGTCGGTCAGCGGTAGAGTGGGAGAGAGCGGACGGTGAGAGGAAGAAGGGGAGTCTCGTGGGCGCCGTGCTGCTGATGCTCGCGCGGGGACAGCAGAGGAGGTCGGCACGGGGGTCCCCACCGGGTGTGTTGACAGGGGGGAGTCACGGGGAGCCTCTGGGGCTGGGTCGTGCGCCATTCATGACGCCCCGCTGTCCCCCAGTCTCGCTCCAGGCCGTGCTGCCCAGGGGACCCTCTGCAGCGACGGGAGGGTCTTGTCAGACAGCACAGACCCTGCGTGTTAACCTGTGGCTGGGGGGAGGGGAGCGAGGAGGGCAGGGCTGCTACCGTGACTTGCCTGGTGCTCGGATTGGCCTGAGTGACTTTGTCTGTTTGCTGTTGTCTTTTTAATGTTTTCATTTTTTATTTGTGAGAGACAGAGAGAGACAGAGCACAAGCAGGGGAGGGGCAGAGGGAGAGGGAGACCCAGAATGGGAAGCGGGCCCCGGGCTCCGGGCTGTCCGCACAGAGCCCGACAC